AGTGTTCAAAAATGAACGAATCAATAGACAGTCTTAAGATGATTGGTTGTAATGTCATGTGACAACAAGGTCAGACATGTTTATTTAGTTAGTGGACAGACAAAAACATATTGTCAATTATAATGGAATATCGATCCATATATACATAGCAAAATATAACAGACTGCCAAAAACAAACACACATATTATGTGGATACATATCACTTATATTCTCTCTAATTTATGTTATCTCTACTAGTTTCACGATTATTTTTATTTGGCTTTCGGCTTTTTTGTTCTTCCTAATGAATTTTATAGGATAGTTAGTTATTCAACACCAACGCTTCTTCTATCCGTTTCATTTCGTCATTTAGGTCTTTTCTTGTGCTACTTAGTGCCACTGCTCGATTTGTTAAACACTTAACTAAGCCTGTCTTAACAGACAACGACGGATGAGATGAATTAAAGTCTAAATATCTGATATTAGAATGCGTTGGCTTTCTATAAACACTAGTGTGCAGTTTACCTTCTTCTATTCGTTTTATTTTACAATCTTACATCACAGCTAATTCTCCTTGTTCATTTTTAGATTCAAATGTGAATTTTATTCCCTCTACTAGTGAGTTTTTTATTTGTGTCAAGCAGCTAGAGATATGTTCTGTTTTTAACACTGTGTGTGTGAAAGTGTCATCCACATATCTCCATCATATTTTTGGAGTAGGATTAAATGTATAAGAGCAAAATTTTCCCAACTGTCCATAAATATGTCTGCTACAATAGGGGATATTGGTGATCCCATTGCTACACCTTCTGTTTTTTTGTATATTTTGCCCTGGAATATAAAAAGAGTAGATGTGAGGCATAACTAAATCCCTAAAATAATTTCTTCACTGGGCAGCGGATCCTGAACTCAATCATCTAAAACGTGATCTAGGTAGGTGGAGAGAGAGGTTGGCTACTGAATCCTGGTTCCTCGAGTCTACACCCAACACATGCAACAGAAATGACTCAATGCAAATACCAGAAATATGGAAGATATTATCAAATCAGAAGAGGATAATAAATAATTTCAGAATTCTATTTCAATTCAAGCACATCACAACATTCGAACAAGTAACTTATTTTGACTAATAAAACACTCTTCTAATTTCCCATCTGATTTTATTTGATCGATAACATTCGTATTATTATTTCTGAATGCACGTTATCACATATTGATTTTTTATTCAAATATCTAATAGATTCCACACATGTATATAAATGAAGGAAAAAAGTTGTAAGAGTACCCTGATATGATTATGAGCAATAGTTTGTGCTGGAAACGTGGTCATCAGTTAATATTTCTGTATAACACTGCCTGACATATCAGACACAGTTTATTTTTCATAATCCCAATGTATCTCCTTGCTAAGCGATCTTGTGTAGCACATTAGACAAACTACTTTGGTTTATCTTAAACTGCGTAATGAGTGCGAGGTAAAATACACCGGTCATATTTCAATTATGGAACCGCACACAGCATACACAGGAGGAGACATGCATCATCACGGAGACTCTGTTGATCAAATTAGCTAAGACAATATGTGACAGGAATGATTAAAAACCTCTTCTGAACATCCACAAAATAATCGACTTCTCATATGACAAGGTGTTATGATGCTAGAACTTTGTCACGAGGTAACAGCTTAACTACTGACCAATGCCCACTTAACTGGTAAAGCAGAACACGCGATAATCAGCGGTAAAACCTGAATCATTTATTTATGACAAAAGTGACTGTATTTATACAAAAATAAGGTAGACTGGAAATCAACCAATCCGGTTGGGAGATTGGAATTCTGCAAGCGTCCAATCAGAAAGTAGAAACAAATGCATGTCACCGACACGCTAATAACTTGCTTAATGCATGTGTTTTGCCTCTTCCTAACACAAGAAGCAGGGAATCTAGAAGAAATAGTCATTGACAGACACCTAAGACATCACAGCAAACAGAAGTAACAACTGTAAAATCGATAGAAAATGCAGAGAAAAAGGATGAAGGCAGACAAAGTATCACTGATACACCAGCAGTGGTAGCGATAACAACAGAACAAGAGACGCACACAACAAGAGTGGAGAAAAACTCCGAGAAAGAGGATGTAATTAAGTCAATGGCATTGTCAGAAGTAGCAAATTTGACTTACATGTGTTCAGTGAAAAGTCAAGCTCTGAGAAGGATGAAAAAGAGACACCGAAGAAATCACAGACAGTAGAAAAACTCTCTCTCTCTCTGCGTATGTGTGTGTGCGCGCGTCAGTTATCTGAATTGTTTGAAGCAGTTGCAGACATTGGATGTTATTTTCTCTTGTTGACCTATTTTTGTTTATGTGAAGGTGAACTTAATTTCAATATACATATTATACACCATTGTTATAATCCTGAAAACATTCCATTGAACATTTCACCATTATTCACCAGATTATTGATTAATTTAATTAAAGCGATACGCTTTTGTTTTCAGTGATTACACCAAAGAAATTATTCTACTTGAGAGTAAGTACACAAAGAACGATGAGAAGTATGTCTAGTGTAAGATATCCATCTACTGCTTCATCACATGACACATAGTAAAGAAGTACCCAATCTGAAGAATTTCAAGTTCACACGATAGATATAGACGTGAGTGAATATCCGCCAATATAAACTACTAGCCTTAACCGATGAGTATTGGTTATATTACATAGTACTAAAGGCTGAATACTACTTGTTCTTCTTTTAAAAAATAATTTTATCAACGGATAATCACCTACACTAGTTAATTCAAAGGTAAAAATTTATATTATTTAAAAACAATCAAATAGTTTGTCTTATTTGTATTGAACCATTTTTGTTCTATTGATTAGTGGTTGAATGTTTGTTAGCATGCAACACAATTGTTGAAAATTCAACGGAGATCTTAGATAGTAGACTTGCTGCACTTGAATCACTCATGCATTGAACCCTAGATCGTTATTTTACAAGACAAAAATACTGTCATTGAAACACTCAGCTGAAATTGAACTTTCATACATTTATTTCCCTTGATGCATTTTAGCAATGCAAGAAGTACACTTTCGCAGAATAAAATGGTACCATCATTGTTTATTTCGTTGCCTTCTCGTCAGATGCTTACAGGGCAAAGACATTATTAAATATATCTACAACAACAATTTTAACATACTTACATACACAGAGTTCATTTTAAACAAAAATCACTCGATCAATACAGGCATACACTAATAATATATACATATATATACATGTAATATTAAAGACTATTCCAAACAATAATAATCATACTCAATGGAAACTTTCCAGCATTTTGCATTCGGATGAAAGAGAGATGAAAAATATCCAGTTACCAGGCTGGACAAAGAAAGACTGATAACCACTTCTTTGTGGATGCATTATTCAGGTTTCGGGTGCTTGATGGAAATGACTTCAGCAAACTTGAGGAGAATTGAGCTCTTTTGCCTACTGATAATTTTGAACGACTTTTCGACGTCCACCCCATCACCTGTGTCAAGGAGATACCTGGCGATGGCACTGTTTAAAGGATTTGTTACCTTTAGACGTAAGCTTTTTGGAAAATGTTCAGAAAATCGTAGATATGGCCTTCTTTCTGTCTTTCCAATGTAACTGCTCCCACAGATACATGTAGATTTGTATATACAGTTGGAGTAAATATGAGAAGGATATCTATCGATTTTTGATTGCACCAAAGAGGAAGTTGTTCCATAGATATCTTGCAGCTAAGCTCGTTCCCGTCTATCTGTATATACAAATTTAAATGTATCTGTGGGAGCAGTTACATTGGAAAGACAGAAAGAAGGCCATATCTACGATTTTCTGAACATTTTCCAAAAAGCTTACGTCTAAAGGTAACAAATCCTTTAAACAGTGCCATCGCCAGGTATCTCCTTGACACAGGTGATGAGGTGGACGTCGAAAAGTCGTTCAAAATTATCAGTAGGCAAAAGAGCTCAATTCTCCTCAAGTTTGCTGAAGTCATTTCCATCAAGCACCCGAAACCTGAATAATGCATCCACAAAGAAGTGGTTATCAGTCTTTCTTTGTCCAGCCTGGTAACTGGATATTTTTCATCTCTCTTTCATCCGAATGCAAAATGCTGGAAAGTTTCCATTGAGTATGATTATTATTGTTGTTCGGAATAGTCTTTAATATTACATATATATATATGTATATATTATTAGTGTATGCCTGTATTGATCGAGTGATTTTTGTTTAAAATGAACTCTGTGTATGTAAGTATGTTAAAATTGTTGTTGTAGATATATTTAATAATGTCTTTGCCCTGTAAGCATCTGACGAGAAGGCAACGAAATAAACAATGATGGTACCAATTTATTCTGCGAAAGTTTACTTCTTGCTTTATTCAAATGGAGGCGAACTGTTTGTCATTCTGGCCTCCTCTGTAAATGTGAAATAATAGTAACAATATTATTACTAAACAGGGTCATTTTATTTTTTACTATTGTCTTCACAACCGACACAACATACACCATTGGTTAGGTCTGTTGTGAGAATGTAAGCAAATCCATCTGAAATGTAACCCTACCTATGAACAGTGGAGTGATATGCAGCTGGATAATTTGTAAGGAGCCGAACGATATCGTAATAATTTTTATGACATATTGATGCCAGGTAATTGATGACACGTTGTCTGGAAAACACTGTAGGTAGGTTATGGAAGCCAGAAACATTTATGCATAAGATATAGTAGTTGCACAGCTGTGAAGTAGCGTTTACTTCGCATGCTTCTCGATCTAAACCAGGTGACATTCATGATTCAACAGCGAACTCCATAAATAAGCATGTTAGTTGGCTTAATTATGGTCGGTGACATACATTGTAATAAGCTGATATAGATATATTCGGTATACAGTAGTTTTCTGATTACCTTTTGATCTACTAAATCCGTGTTCACTTTTATTTGGTAAAATTATACATTTAGAGAATTCTATACATAATCTTCAGATAAAATGCCAATGAAAATGATGTCATATCCAGTGATCATAATATTCATACTTCATTTATCGACAATTAAATCTAATCCAGATGAAAATCTCTCTCCTGATGAACCACCAAACGATAAAATCACTGAAAAAACAAATACCATGGAAGAAACAGACGGAAACTTGACTACCTTCACAAATTACTCTTCTTCTGCAGATGCCTTTGTTTCTACCAGTCGGCCGGTGAATAATGGTAGGCCTTCATTTTGTCAGACTGCTCGTTTCATATCAAAACTAACTCTCACACCTCTCCGTTGTTTCCATTTGACGGAATAAGATGTTAGGAAGATGAAATACCTATTTCAGTAACTCATCCACTAAAAAAGATCGAAAGATTCACTTAGGTGGTTGAAGTGTTTCAACCAATATCCAAAAAATGGTTTGAATAGGAATGCAATAAGAATCCTATAAGGAGCCATTGTCAGCAATTGTCACTAGGCCTTCGTATTCACTCACTAGCATTATCAGTAGCGATCAGTTCCACGTATACCCTGAGGCATGTTTATTTGTTGCATTGTTATTCGATGATGTTTCACCTTCTTCCAATTACGTCTTGTTGATTTGTAAGTGGAACATTAGATTTTTATTAGATGCTGAAATGGAAAGCCTAAATCTTGTTGTCTCACATCAATAAATAACCATAGTTTCACAGAGATTATTCTGTTTGTTATCAACAAAATGACAAATAATTGATCTACTAGAGCGTCCCTGCTTGGCTTGAGACTAGGTGCCTAATTATCTATCTGTTAATCTCTGCATCAATGGTGTGCTTGATCTTTAAAAGGTATCTTTGTCACTTTCGATGATGACACCTGAGAGACAAATGCATTCTACGAATTCGGCTTGTAATTGTAATTTTATGCGAGATCAAGGATGACGCTGAGTTTCGTCCAACTGTCAGTGGAGTTTTGAAAACCTCGTTTGAGATTGAGACTTTGCAATGGTTAACGTAGTGTTATGAATAGCCCTGCTGTTGTGTTTTCAATAAGCCATTAGGGAAAAGACAAATAAAATACGAGATCACACCATTTCATAGTTTCTTTACAATCGCTTTTTTACAGCTAGCTTGGTTTACAATAATACAATAAAATGTCTGACGATTAACCGGCTATATAAAGGAGTTCAAACTAATAACCAGTCATGTTCTAGTTGGCCAAGTAGTCCGTAGTAGGTAGACGTCTAAGTTTACTGTTTACTGCACATATAGTTTAGGATGCATGCGATTAATCTAAAGTGATCCTACCACCTCTAATAACCTTAGATTAAAGGTATATGAAATAATTGAGAAACGGTCATAAGTATTGATTTGGTGACTGGACAATAATAAACGCTTATTATTGGAGGATGCTGGATTCATATTCATATCAAATACATTTAAATTTTCTGTGTGTAACTTGGTAACTGTTTAGTAACATGTTCTTTCTGACGTCAACTGGATCACTCTATATGTTCTAACTATTGATGTGCTACTGTGTTCTTTAATAATGGACACAGAAACTGAAGATTTTCGCGGTGAAGGGAAAAGTGATGTGGCGTAGAATGTGTACTGTGTAGCTGATAAGAGGCTTCAGTTGCCGTCAGTTGCATGATTTCATCATGGCAGTTTGAGAAAGATTTCTCTCATTGGTACGGAAGCTGCCTTAACAAGAGGTAGTCTCTTTTTATTCTGATATACAATGAAGTCTTCAGAACACGTATTAGACAACAAAACTGAGTGTGCACAGCGTACCTCAGTCATCTACTCATGGCTTTTGCAAAAACCTATGCAGTTAAGTAGTTTATTCGGTGTGTGTGCCTGTGTGTATTATTGACTGATTTCTTTGGTTCATGTGTCATTTCGTCGCCAAGCAGATGAAGCAATGCTTTGTCTGCTACTGAAAAGGTTCATAAGTAAAATCAGCGTTTAGCCTGATTGGCAATAAGCTTAGCCAACCTACGTAATAAATATGTTCAAATCAAGTTCACTTTTAAAAGTTTCAAAAACATTTTGGCATTAGGTATATGATATTCATTATGACGGAGGTTTATTTTAAAATAAGGGTATTATGAGATAGAAACAAATTTTTATAAAAACCTTTTTTTAAAAAAAAAAAAAAAAACAGACTCTGTAAGACCGCCGAGAAATCCAGTTAAACTTGAAAAGCCTGAAAAATCATCAACTATATGTTGTCTACACGCTACGCTATAGAATCAGGCCAGAAAACTTATTTTGACAATATTGAAATAATCCAGAAAAAGCATTTCAGAAATCACAAAGAAGCACTTCATATCAAGTGGAAACCAAATTGTCTTGTAAATAGGAATGATGATGGACTAAAACAGAATTTCACCTGGTTACAACACCTTAGGAACTCACATGAAGTGACGAAATTAACGCAATTATGATAAGCAATTTCATTATGTAAGCACACGCTGCTTTTATAATTTTACACACTTATCAAATCCAACAATCTACACCTGGTTTTGTTATCTTTAACCATTGGCCAATTTGACAACACAAAATGCCCTCATGCTGAAGAACGATAATTAGGTTGGCATGCTTAAGCTGAGATTTTGTAAATTCTGGTTCAATAATACTTTGATAAAGCTATTGACAGCAGCATTAAATAGCGAAACGTTAGTAAAAACAGCAATATCGTTTTGTTTTTCATTCATTGCGAATTACAAGAAAACCTTTATTATGACAAACCTACACAATATGTGAACGGACTGAGGGTGTTCACAGTCTTTGGGACCACCAATGTTCTCGGGATTCCTGTTTCGTTTGCTTCAGGCTAATTGTTAAACATTTGTAGGCTTGATGCATTCGTCCTTATTCATCAGTTTTCCTTCTTTACAACATGACTGGCGCTTATTATATGTCAACAACCACCTGTTAGGCATTCATCACAAAGATTTTAAAAACATCTCCGATTAATTATTTTACTCAGATTCAACAATCAATAAAAGTCACATATGGGACGGGGATCGAGAAACACAGACAAAAGTATCGTTATCGGTTGAACAAGACAGATTTTGATCTTAGCTGTGTTTTGACAATTTTCTAAAACAAATAATATAAGTGGTAGAATTTAATTAATGGGTGGTGATTAGCAGTGGAATCCAGGATGCGTATTTCGTCCTATTTGAAACTCGTCATCTGGATATCCCTGCACTCCTCAGTGAGTGATGATGATGTTCCCACCGAGGCTCGAACCCAGTGCCCATAGCTTCAAACGGCAAAGCGTTATCACTAGATCACTTAGGCCACGAGAGCCACCTCTTGACGAGTCCCAAAAAGAACGAAATGCGCATCCTGGATTCCACTGCTAGTCACCATCCACCAATTAATTTGTAATTACATGCCTAGATATTGTCGAAGCATCTGCACAAGAAGCCGACATCTCCACTTGAGACTGAGCACTTCAGTCCAAACAGTCGACGGGAAAATCTAAAATTCAATTAAACATAACTGGTAGTCGAAGTTATACTCCGGTGAATCAAACAATTCTGATTTGAATGTAGGAAAACCCCTCTTTTTTCACAGATCCTTCGACAGTTTGTTCTGATTCTACACTGGACTGGATTTCAGTATCACCTTTAATCAATAACACCATCTGTTAATCCTATGCAGTGGAACACAGTGTTTCTCACAAAATTATTTAACCATCTTGTCTCCTATGTTTGGGTAGTTATAACACAGACATCCGGCGTTCTTACTGCCCTTATTGCCCTACATATCATAATTGACTGTAATGTACCCTGAGAAGTGTGCATATTTGTTAATATCCTGAAAATGATTTGATCTATTATACCATTCACTTGTTTGAAGTTGAATGTATGCTGTTACTGGTTATGTTGATCCTGTCTGTCCTGAGATAATCAGATGACATTTTCCCCCGTGAATATTGTGCTGAACATAAATAGGATTTTGCAAAGCGCCTCCTGTGAACAAACACGCGTATTTACTATTTTTGCGCAAAGCAAAACCTTCCGCTTATCGCCTTCAGGCATACATACACACATAAATGTGAGTAGAAACTTAACTTGAAACAGTTCTAGGTAACATGTCAGTCAGAAGAAAGCACTCGTAGACTTAAATACTTGACTACTGCTAAAAAATAAATCTTGCGAGTTAAATTTTAACACGAGTGACCATTTAAGCAACTCCTCTGAAAAGGAGTTGATGAAGGCAATCTGAATAAGCTCGGAAACATTGAGCTACTGGTTTTCGGCATCGTACTCAATGAATCAAGTTGTTGTTCGTTTCCTATTGTTTTATATGAACTGGTTATTCTTTGGAATATGGTGACAGTGTTTTATGTAAATCACATGCTAGCAGAAATTTTCTCTTGACTTCATGCACATCACCATGTTTCGCTTTTTCAAATGTATTCTTTCATTACCACAGATGCGCAGACAGACAATAGGGCGATCAGGAAAGAAGAAGTGCAGACGACAAATGAGACAGTCCCCGAGACACATAAGACAGAACAGCAAATAGAAGACACAATCGTAGAACAAATACCAGAAGAAATAACAAACGAAACACAAAATGCAGGGAAAGAGGATGGAAACACACAAAGTATCCCTGATGCAGCAGCGGTAGCGATAACAGCAGAACAAGAGACGCAAACAGCAATAGTGGAGACAAACTCCACGAAACAGGAGGCAGAGACACAGATGGATATAAATACGTCAGTGGCATCGTCAGGAGCCACGAATATGACATACGTATTAAATGAAAATTCAAGCTTCGAGAAGGCAAACGCTTATGATGAAGAAAAGACCACTGAGAAATCACAGATAGTAACAGAGTCTACAGAAAAACATCCACATCCAATCAGAGCTTGTGAGTTTTGCCAATTAATTACTGAAAAATTTGTAAGATTTCATAATTTTAGTGTTTCAGTAATTTCCATTTGGTGATCCGAATGATCTCAGTGTAAAATACTATTTGAGTCGGAGTTGTCATCTATACTGCGCATTACTTTGTCAGATATATATATATATATATGATAAAAAGAAATCTTCTAATCGGAAAACGTACTCTAACAATACCCCTTTTCACTAGCCAATTAAGATGAAGAAAGACGGGGAATATCTATCGGCCAGTGTCACTTCCATATGGAGACCTCTGTTTTGCTTAACATTTTCGATAAGTGATGTGTAATCCGATATCAAAGCATACTAGTTTCTCAACTCAGCTGATCCTTGTGATCGTTACAATTGAGTCAGTCCCCTGAATGCGAGTGAAGCCCTTCTTCTAAAGTCACATACGACAAAGATATTTGAGTTCGCAGTTATTTTACACAGAGAATTCACTGAATTCATTTCTCTGCATATCTTCCTTTCATTCAAAGACGAAGGTAATGGCAAATTTTTCAATGAATTTGATCTTGAACATATCACTGAACCTGTTGAAAAGACATCCATCATGGAATATGTAAACTCAAATAGAAGCAGACTACTTCCATTCCCACGTTGACCTTCATAGCCCCTCTAATATTTCAACTGTTAGCCCCTGTACTGTGAACAAAATCCGACTACTTCGTGTCCATTCCAATGGGCTTATCTGTAGTGTATGTAAATATAGTTGGAGTTATCAGTGGAGTGATTCCCAGGATAGATTTTGTGGTTCATTCAGTTATTGTGAAACACATTTTTATGCTAGACTGGCTCCATATCATCTATGAAATTCATGAGACTCCACCAGAATTTGGTAAGAAATCTTATCATGTTACGTCTGAATATTGGGACAGAAAGTGGGATTTGGAGAACTCATTTCTGTTTACCTTATTGCGCTGAGCTAGATGCGCCTTCATCCTAATTGTACTTAGTGCTTTCACATAGATTACAAACTAGTGCTCGTTGTTCGGAATACTTAAATGTGTAGCAACTTGACTAATGAGTGCTCTGAATACTGTTCACGAGAACATAAAATTGAGAAAATTTAATTCATTCACTGCATTTGAAGTCATGAAAAGTGTTTTTCAATATCAGTTGCACTTTTGAGCAGTGGTTATAAAGGTCCTCGCCACGGATTCTTTAGACGAAAAGGATCTGTGTCGCCAGCCCCACTGCTTGACTGAAAGGCTTTCCAAAGTACTCATATCAATCAGTAGTATATACAAGATATCATCATTATGTCATGAACATAGGAATTCCGATTTCAAAACCATCCTTGTGTAGCAGTGATTTTTTGGATTTTCACCTGCCGTTTTTCTTTCATGACACCACTGTAAGGCGGCATTCATTGACCAGCGACTTTCCACTGACCAAGTGACTAATTCCAGTTTTCTTCTATTCACTTGTACACCTCAGTCTATTCTTTTCAGAATTCATTCAACAGAATTTGTCTTTATTCACGCATCATAATATATCTGCATTTGAATCTGTTCTTCTTTTTATAAGTAGACTGAGTCATCTTCCATCTTGACTCATGGAAATGATTTCGTCTTAGGAAATGACATTGATTTTAGTACAAAAGTAGTGATTCTATATTTCGCGAACAGGAAATTGCATTATTATTATCGTTATTGATTTATTCTGCTGAGAATTCCAGGTTACTTAATAGATATCGTATTTATCAGAGTGTGTTTCATCGTTGAGTTTTACCTGGTTGAATGCGGAGAAGATGTGTTCCATCACTCTATTGACGACGATTCCGGAGTTTACCGATTTCCTATTTTCCACGTTGACCCACTCACTATTCTGGCATTTCCACACACATTTCAACAATGAAATTTTTCCCTTACCTTTTCAGTGAATCCTGCCATAATTCTACTCATGGTATGCGTTTGTATTCTGTCGGTGTCAGGCATCGCCTCAATCATCTACTGTGCACTACAAACTGGCTTTCGTGATAATCCAACACTGATAAGACTGAAAGTATTCGGTCAAAACACACCGTATACAACTTTCTCGAATGAGAATTTGTAAGCGTGAGGAGGCGAAACATTTCAACATATATTAACCAGTGTTTTTATTTACTGTAAATATTTGACTTGATTTGATTTGTTTGTGAAGCTTTGATGAAGAATAACTATATTATCTATTGTATTGTGTATTGTTAATCTGCTTACTTGCTGTTATTTGTCAAGAATGTTTCTTTGAACTTCAACTAGCGTTCACCGAGTTCTTCCTTGGTAAGATTTGTGGATTGTTCGTTTCACAATGAGGTGTTTTTCAATATGAACTGTTTGAATTTATATAACGGTCTAATCTTGAATAGGCTGTTGAATTCGAAGAAGAACAAGAAAGTGACCGTATGATGAGCTTCCTGGTAGTAGAATAAACACCTCCTACTCTGTGCGCTGAGCAGTGACAAGCAGGATGGATCTTTTTTTTATAATATCATTTCACTATGAACTTCCATCTGCATTCACTTCCTAATACCTAAAAATAAAATGCGTGAATGAGCTATCCGTTAGTTTTTAATGAATCTTTTCATCAACTCTGCTTGTGCTACAATCTCTATTTGAAAATTGGCAACCTAATCAATAAAATATTTTGTAGTCACTGCCCTGAACATCATATTCAGGCAGTTTTCTTTCTTTATTCTAATTTGAGAGGCATCATGTGAAGTTGATATACTTTCATCTTTTGTGTAGTAGACGTTGAGTAGTCTACGTGAGTATAATTAGAGTGAATAAAAAAGAAGGAGACTGTTTAGTAAAATTGATAACAGCGATGTTGTATGATATAGAAATATGTGAACTTAATTAGGTATTCAGTCATCATCAGACTTTCTAACAATTACTACTACTTCTACTGCTTACTTCTTGATAATCACCTTTCCAAGTATTTAAAAAAAATTTCAATTTTCAATTATTTCAATATTATATCTGGTGCTGATATTGATCGCATAGATCACTGGCGGGTTAATGGAGAATTAATGATGAGAAGGTTATTGGCCTACTTCATTGTATCTGTATTTTGTTTCACGAATTTAGTCCAGTTCATACATGGAAAATCTGGGGAGTAGTTGAGAGCTCATTCAATCTAGTCTGACGCTCATCCGCATTCAAGGGGAATATTCTCAAAAATGTGGGATCAAAACTTTGTCACGAAGACTTCCGTAGTGTACATATCAAGCAGACATTCCATTCGAGTGGACGTCGCCATGACCAACCTTGACTTCAATCAGTCGAAATCACAATCGTAAAACAACACACTATCAATATCATCACATGACCACAAAGAGAAACATTGAAATTACAGATTAAACAGGCACATAGCTAAAGAATGGGGATCAATCCAACATATGATATGCTAATGTCAGAAAAATGATGTAGAGGTTAGGAGAGTAGAGGATTATGAATACAAAGTTAGTTGAAACAGATAAATAAGTTGGATAAAGCAATAAGAAGATGTAATTTGTCTGAATAGTGTAATGCAGTATTTGTGCAACACATGTCGAACAATCTGATCACAAACGGACTTTTCATAGGAATATATGTATAAAATTAATAAAGAGTTAAGAGGCGAGAAATAGAAATAGACTAAGGTCAGGTGAATAGAACTTATTAAAGGTCAAAATCACACATGGAGATCACTTAACCAAAGAAGCGAGGTAATATTACATCTCTGTCCTGTCTAGTATCAAAACAAAGTTTACCAAGGACAGTAGGTTTAGTGTGATGACGAATTGTTGCCTTGAACGCATAATGGTGGTGCAAGCTATGGCTTCCACAAACTTTAGGATGAGCTATCCGATTTGTCGGCTCATTGAAAAACGAATGAATGCAGATACTCTGTAATCAATGCTAAGAGATGTCTATGTATCTGACTGTAGTATGTGACATGAAGACATCTGAATATTCAGTCAAATGACTGCCTCCCTATAGTGAATATCTTAAAGTTACTTATACGCAATATAATTAACTCGAGTTGGTGGTGGGATAACAATATGTGATACACCTGACTCACTCTTTCAGAGGACAAAGCACTACCTATATAATACAAAGAAACGAAGATGGATTTTGTTTGGGTTTCTCCTAGGCTGACATCAATCAGACAACCACATAACATGAAACAGCTATTTTGTTCCAATTTGAATATTCGAAGTATTCCTCAGCCATAATCCCACTGACCAGGGTGAATTAAGGCTATTCACGAGTTCAATAACTGATGGGCTTGAAGCTCTTTAAATTCGCAACATATCACATCCATCACTAAATGTCAATACAAAGTTTCTGTTGTCATAACTGACCTGCTTCATATCACTGACTCTGATCGGCGCTGTAGGCATTCCCCGTTGATAAGTGTAATATAGAACGAAATAACTGTGCACTTGTCGTCGACTTTCAATGATTTTGTCTTCAGTGTCAATTTGTGATTGAATCTGGTTTGAAACTAATTTTAATCCTTACAGAATTTAAGGTCATACATCATCAACTGTGATATGTTGGGATGAGATATAGGATCAGTTTTGCCTCAGATTATAACTACTGAGATCACTTTTCATCACGAATCATGGGGGTCGCAGGGTTGAACAATAAATAAAATGTTCACGCCATTCTATCAGTGTAGAAGCACTGAAGTCATGCCGCTCTCAAATTAACTGATGACACATACTGATGCAGTTAAACCAGTACCACTTGTTCAATCACAATGAAACCATCAGGATATAGATGATGCAAGTCAGGTAAACGTGGTATTTTCTTACGTAATAAAAGCATATTAACTTTTTAATCTGCACATGTATCACATCTAATATATTTTCGTGTTGTTCAACTGACATATACGCTATAGGTTACACTGGTCAGATTTCATATCAAATTTTTCAATTTCAGAGTTCGAATCCTCATGTTATATCCATCCTGCTAATATATTGGCTCTAACAAAGCTAAGTGACAACTAAGTAGACTAAGATTATAATGATTGAATGAAGCGAGAACTACAGTTGTTGCAGAATAAAAAGGTACCATCATTGTTTTATTTCGTTGCCTTCTCGTCAGATGCTTACAGGCCAAAGACATTATTAAATATATCTACAACAACAATTTTACATACTTACATACACAGAGTTCATTTAAACAAAAATCAATCGATCAATATACGCATACACTAATAATATATAATATCATGCAATATTTAACACTATTCCAAACAATAATAATCATACTCAATGGAAACTTCCCAGCATTTCGTATTCAGATGAAAGAGAGATGAAAAATATCCAGTTACCAGGCTGGACAAAGAAAGACTGATAACCGCTTCTTTCCGGATGCACATATCAGGTTTCAGGCGCTTGATGGAGATGGCTTCAGCAAACTTGAGGAGAATTGAACTCTTTTGCCTATTGATAATTTTGAACGATTTTGCCACGTCCACCTCATGATCCGTGGCAAGATGGTATCACTTTATTTGCAAAAACTGTAGTTCTCGTTTTATTAAAATTCATTAAAGGGAATAATCGTATGAGAGATTATAATAATTAGCTAATAATGGCCAATGATAACAAAGCATTATCATTTTTAACTGAAACTTGTACCTAAAGTGACATATTCTTATGCTAGTCACTCTACACGATTGTACATGATTTGAAATATTTAAAATCCTCATCCGATATTTAATGTCACTACCAATAAAAAGGCGGATTATGATGTCGTTGAAGAAGATGACGATGGCAGATGTCTTGTTGATATGAAGACTTTCAGATTAATTACATCCAGAATCTTCTGAGTGCATATGCGTTGTAGATAAAGAAACATTGTCATCAGTTAATGGTATGTTGTGTAATACTTGATAGGTGGATGAATTCATCAAAGCTAAAGATATGGAAGGCGAATTACGCACAGAAAGGTCAGCAACGTTTGAATTGATTAGTGTTGGAGTAAAGTTATGAGGTTTCAAGATGGAAAATGACTCGAAGACTTTGAGTTTATACCATTAGTTGTAAATAAAGTACCATATTTAGTCAGTGTTTTAGTAAACCATACAGTTGACGTTGATAATATCAATAAAACAATTTGCGAAACACTGAGTTTTCGGTCAATTTGGGCGTTGAGTTAGTTCACTTTGGAAATATATCTCATTTGATCTCGGACAGCATAATTAGCAAAACAGTCTTCCTAACAATATGAATTATCATTATTTTATTAACATAAGTAGCAGTTTGATATTTTCTTGTTCGAGATGAACGCATATATTTTTATAGGCCTAGGTTATATATTATCATGCCCTTGGGTTCCAAGTGGAACATAGGGTTTCTGCAATACGTCTTCATTGCACTATTATTTCCGCAGTCGCTAATACCTGGCATTGCAAACAGTTCATGAGCATTGATCTCCCCCTCACACTATCTCCTCAGTATTAACACCTGACTCCCAATTTGTCGTTTCGGATTGGGGTTCCACTCTAGCGATAGCCTGGCAATTGATGTCATTGAGTGGTCTCCTCAGAGTATGTTCACTGTTTGTTTGTTTTTGTCCAGTAGTTCTCTGGTTGGTTTATTACCGGTCGGAGTTCCTAATTACTTATTCTTTCTCGTCATGGAATCTTCAGCTTGGAGTGAAAGATCGACTCACGTTAGGTATTTCAAATAAGAATCAATACAGTAGTTAATTAATGTATGTGTACAAGAAGATGTTCCGTACACAATATTGTGGTGTAATGCAGATTCACTGAAGCGACCAAAACTGAAACCAAAATTCAAGTCAATATCTGTAGGGTCAGATATGTTTATTCCTCAAATCTGGACTTAGTCGACATTGTAGTTAGGAAATAATCCCAGTGGATACTTTTCCATCTCATTGGTAAACCTTGGACCAATCACCAACCAGTCAGACCAGCGTATTGTTTACTTGCCTATGATGCAGTTTTCCCTAATAAATATAGTCCGTTACCAATTCTCTTTTATCCTCTCCCACCGCAACATCAAACATGAGGATATTGATAAGATTTATGTTAGCGAAGGAATAATTGTGAATATTTTA